TGCATAGCAGTCCTTGTTTTTGTTGTCATGTTATTTTTGGCTTGTCAGCTAATGATTGTGTTAATTATTGTGTCACTTGATCGTAATGTTGAAGGATTGTTCTCGTTTCAGTTGCGCACTACGATACAACAACAAGTTGTGCAAATCAAGTCKGTCCAACATGAAGTAAGATGTTTTGAATATATATTTCGTTCGCTCGCTTGCTCGCAAGTTTGTTCGTTTGTCCTTGGGTTGACTGCAAACGCGTGGGTTGTTATTCATTCCTTTAAGCATTCACACTTCTCTATTTGTTGCTTTCTCCTTTCCTTCCTTCCTTCCTTCCTTCCTTCACGTACGTTTGTTCATTCTATCTTTCTTTCCATCGTTGCATGCTTTTCTTTCTCATAATTTTATCTCATTTTTTTCAATCCTTTACTAAGTTTTTTTGTTCAAATTCAGAATCACATGTTAACGGAGAAACAAAACAAGCTCTGGGAGTTGATCGACGCGTGGCATAAAGATTGTCAATCAGCCTCGCTACCTTCAAARCCATCAAGCCCTCGTCAGTCTGCTCGCAGAATGCCTGCTACACCAACCACACCAGAACCAAATGGCGCAATAAAAGTAAGTTTATGGGAAAACATAAATTTTATCGTTACTCAGAAACAACCTGGGCTGATCTAAGTCAGGGCACGGCTAACTCACAGATCGAACCCTGAAACAACCTCTGGGGCTGATCTAAGTCAGGGCATGGCTAACTCACAGATGAAACCCTGAAACAACCTCTGAGCTGATCTAAGTCAGGGCACGGCTAACTCACAGATCAAACCCTGAAACAACCTCTGGGCTGATCTAGGTCAGGGCATGGCTAACTCAGAGATCAAAACATGAAACAACCTCTGGGCTGATCTAAGTCATGGAATGTCTAACTTACAGATCAAACCCTGAAACAACCTCTATAGGCTGATGAAAGTTAGGCCAGGGTTAACTCACACACTGAACTGGAAGTTAGTTTGTTAGGTTTTGCGTAAGGTATGTGAATCTGGCTATTGATTGGATGCCAAACTAAGAAGCCATCTTAATGTTATTAATGACGTCACGTATCTGACCATTCCTCGCCAGGATCGAACGGGTTCGGACCCTAATCTAAAAGGAAGAAATTCRCCTGGTCACGTGAGTGGAAGCCGAAATGATTCATGGGCAGTGTGACGTCACGTGGATGTAGAAGGCAAGAATAAATAGATAGATAGTATACTATTAATTAGGGATTATAAATATATATGTATATCAGGATTAATKATTATAATGATCATCTGAGTGACTTGGTGGGGTAGCTTTGGTTTTAACTTATTAAAAAAACCGCGTTTGTTTGTTTTTACCTTAGAAACAGTACAGGCGAAACCATAGATATTTATTTTACTAATAAAGCGACGATAATCGTCCTGAAAGGACGCAAAAGCTACGCTGCCACGCGCGACGAGACAAAATGGAGATGCTTCATTAATCTGTAATCTGGTCAGCAGGGCTCGAAATAAGCACTATCACCTAGTAAAGTGCGAGTGCTTTTCTTGACTTAGTTGCTAGTCGAAAAAAATCTACTAGCAAACATTTGAAAGTAAATGTTTCCCGGATTTGACCAATTTTTTCATTCAAGAAACCCAGAAATTCAAATGTTTACTAGTTAACAATGAGATCCCAAAATAAATACTTAATTGCTTTTTGTCGATGTCAAAGAGACAAAWATCAAAGTTAGCCGGTTTTGAACAAATGCTATGTGTCTTTTCAGACTACTCTTGGTCACGTGATCATTTTCAGGCAACATATTGTAGCCATGTTAATATTGCGCTAATTTTTTAAATGCTTCTACCATCCTGTTGATAACGGCGGAAAATTATTTCCATGGATATTTTATTCTATTTTATTTTATCTGCAAGGTACGCGTAACCAATACATAAAAATACGGTTCGCTTTTATCAATTTTACGGCTCCAGAGCTAGTCCCAGAACGAAGCCAGGTCACTCAGAATGTCAGAGGAATTGTGAATTTCTTCCCAATCTGGCACAATCACCTTATTTATTAATATAACTAGAATTCAGTTTAACAATAATGAACAAACCCTCGGTGTTATTTATGGTTCAGRGCAGAATCACGGAACGCTCCACCCGCAGCCTTCGTCGGTTCTGTCTGGGGTAATATCCCTCCTATCCTCGTTGCTACGTTTTTAGATGGTCTAGTTTAATGATATGTTGACAGACTATAGAATCAAGATACACATAAAACTAATAAAAGTACTATTGAACAGAGACTATGGCGCAGTCTTATATATGTATACATAAAAGACATTTTAATCTGCATCTAGTTTTTAGGCGATTGTTAATTGAGATCGTATCTAGAATATTACATACAATTTGATGTTGRAACGACTCATTTTTATCGGAAAATCTGCGAATGAATCTTCTAGGTAAATTTTTAAAGCCTTCGAGTTTCCGATGGTTTCGAGGTATCAAATAATATGATCTTTGCATGTGTATAGATAACGAACATTATCGTATACATTCGCTGTGTTTTCTTGAAAGCGGTGGCTGAAGTCAGTCAATAACTTTTCATTTCGCTTATAATGTCCATCAAAAGAAACAACATTTTGCTGATACTTATCAATGAAGACTTTATTGAAAGATTTATCCTTTATTTGTACTTTTGTATTGTATTTATTACAAAACCACTGAAATGTAGTTTTTGTCTAACTTTTTCGGCATTTCTTTAAAATAGATAATATTTCATCCGGTAGAAGGATTATRGGATAAAGACATTGATCATAAAACTCTCCGCGAATTGTTTTCGTCTTTTCCTCATTATTCCAWAAGATTTTTCAAATCCTCTTTACAGATCTCCTTATTTAACGTTATCGAACACCCAGACTTTCTTACTCTTCCTGAATTTATCCTTGATCCTTCTAAATTTATGAAACAAATTATAATTTTCAATGAGAGAACTACCTAAAGCTCCTTTTTACCGAGTACAAAAAATACAAACTCCTATCGTAAAAAGATCAATTAACTTCTTAAGAAAAAAAAAATTGATGGACTCCTATGAAAGATGAAGAATTGCCCTTTTTAATATGAGTATAACGCCCTTCGTTTGTTTATAGCTTAAATCGTCGAATTTTTTGGCGTGAATTTTTAATTTTCTAGGTTTCAATGTTTTGGCTAGAAACTGTTTTTCCCCTGGATTTGGAGATCATTCGTAACGGTAGATTTATCGTAGCTTCAGGGCAATATACTAATAGCGGTGGCATCAAGTTCTAACCTTTGTCAGTTTTATGTATATGAATCTAGTTATGATGATAACTATCATGAACTCATTTGAAAAAAGAGTTAAAAAACAGCGCTATGTTATTTTKCTTTTTCTTTTTTGCATATCGGCTTTCACGAGGATATGAATTTTTTACTTTTTTCGTGTAGCTTTGTTTTCGGAAATGACATGAAAAATTCATCTTTTTGGAAATGATTTCGTCGAGTGAATGTATCCGGTAACTATTTCAGTGATTGATTGGATATCTTAAAAACGAGAGGCCGTTCGATTATTTTGGCTCAAATTCAATCTGTAATATGTCTAAAAGCGTACAAAAGACCTAATCAATCTTTATAGAGGAAAAAATAGCAACTAGGCTTTGTTTTTTGATAATAATCCACGAGTTCCTAAACAACACATGACACTCATGAGGCAGTAACAGTRTGTTTCACTTTACTCAAATTTTCAAATTCAATTCAAAACAGCAAAAATACTGACTTATAGCGAAAGTATCTTGACCAAAAAAACCCGTTTTCATTGTATGTTTTGAGAGAACAGCAACTTCACTATACTACCGTATACTTTTCTGATTTCACGACTGTCGTATTTTATCTTGCCCGTCATCAATCAATCAACAACTCTTCACTACATGATGTTTCAACCAAACCTCGTTTTAGATAGGATAAAAGGCGAAGCCGCAGCGACCGAGATCAGTTAATTTCCTATGAATTCTGTAGAAAACCGAAGAATGTTCAATTGTTTTTGTTAATTTATATATATGTATATATATGTATATTTTTTTCTTTATAACTACCAAGTATTATTTGTATTCGTCATATAACCCTTATTTAGTTAGATTTCGGCTCTTGAATAAGTGATGTTTTTATATATTGAATATTGTAGAATATTAATCTTTATTTCTTTACCACTGTSTTATATATATATATTCTAAATATTCAACCTATATATTCTTTTTTCCTTTTGCTGTAATTTAAGTTCAAGTGCCATAATTTGCATCAAGAGTTGGTAAGTTGTGTTTTCGAGAGATATCATATAGATGTGCGGGAACCACACACACATGCTTTGGCTCTCAAACGGCTACCTCCTCTGAGCCAATCAGAGAACGCCAAAACCCAAACCATCCAATCACATTGCTCAGATTTGAAAGCCATTTAAGAGCCAGGGTACCGCACGTTTGTGCCATCCAAATGTTAAGTGATGTGTACCTGGAAGTTGTACAGTTTTAGAAGTTCGCTTTTTTTATGCCCTAGGAAATAGCTTTTAAGTTTTCATCAACACAGACATGGAAATGTCGTCTTGTATGATAAGATACGACATTGTTTTTTGTATTCCTTATCATAAAATGAAAGAAAAAATTTTAAAGTAATAATAACAATCTTCCTGACGCTTGTCTATATAGCACGGCTATTTACCTTTCGTTTCGGTCATCAGATAAGAGGCGCCTCCGCCCGAACCGATATCTAAAAATTAAAAAATCTTCAACGGTTAATTTCAATTTACGATCCAATTTATTTTTTGATTGTAAATGAATTCTAAATCATTTCATAAAGATATCGAATGATTTGTACACTATGAAAACAAAGGTGTGTTTTGGGAACCACGATGTGATAAAGTGTGGTTTGAGTTAAGGTCTTCAATATGAAAGACAATTTACCTCAATTGTTCCATAGCAACTTTCTTTTACGAAATCCTCATTCATCGGCTGTAGTGTATAAAGTCAAATACTTCAAGATTTACGAAGCAGGCTCGTTTTTTTTATTTTTATTTTTTATTTATTTATTTTTTTATAGATGAATTTAGACGTCAAACTTAATCATTTCCATGCGTTTCTAAGTGTTTTCGACACACCCCTTCGCGTAACGGTTTTATTTTGTCAGCCAAAAAAACTTTATTTTCAAACCTTCATATTCTCGCCGATTCCTATCCTATTCCGGTTCGGAAATCTTCTTCAAAAGCGTCATAAATATATGKATAAATGAGATCATTTCTTCTGACTTAGTATTTAAGATTGACTTACTTTTTGATATATTCAATTTCATTCATTAAATTGGTTTTGACGGCCTTAGGTCATGTCTACACTATTGGCAAGCTCCGAACATTTCTATTCAATAAAAGTCCCAATACATGTCCAACACTACAAAACTGTATTTATTTCGTGTATTCCGCAAATGAAAAAGAGGTGGTTTAATTAGTCCGAAGCTTTATATTCTAGTGGTTTTAAAGTGTGTAATTTTACTGTTTCATTCAAACCCCCGCTGGGTTCATTCACGTAGTTTTTACATCGTGATTTATATTTTCATTTGGCCATCTTCCGTGAGGCGGCCAAATGTCTATGATAACTAGATGGAAAGGAAATTTGATTTTTTGCTCTATATAAATCTCTGTTTTCGTGGCTGTAGTTTGGAGAAAAAAACATCAAAATCCGAGCCCGTTATTTTCATTTTTTTTGTTTTTGTTTATAAAAGTACGTGTTTTTGTCTTGATTTGACTGAAGTACTAGCGGCGTTTATCATAAGAATAAGGTGTAAAATATATTTCTCTCGCTTCGCAAATGAGGCGTTTTCCATATAAAAACCTTGCTTTATAAAACCGAAAAAAGGAAGCAATTTGTTTTACCTCTACTAACAGGTTCAGAATGAATAATTCCATATATCGATGCCACTTCCATGTATTTACATTAATCTATCAAGTCCGCGTTATACTAATTACGCTTTTGTTTGGACGAATGAATGAGTGAGTGGACTGAGTGAATGAATGAATGATTTTACTAGAATATCTTAAGGATCAGAACAAGTCACGTTGGGGACCATTCAAGACCAGCTCCAAGCCAGTCAACATCCCACTATTCGCTACTCAACGTAAGTATTTAAAATGATACGATATTCTCTTATATATATTCTAAATATATGTTTTTATTTTGGAGGTTTACATTTTTGTCTCGACTTTGATATTTCATCGTTTTTTCATGAAAACCATGCCATTGTTTTCCTATTTCCTGCTCGGCAATACAATTTTACTTTCTAATTTTCAAGAAAAATTTAATAAGGCAAGTCCTGGGTTACAGTGTAAGTCGAATGTTATTCTTAAAATTGAAAAGTGTGAGATTATTTCTCCTACATGTAGTTACTGGAAGAGTATGCTATGTTTTCATTTACATCAAGGTACCGGAAAATGGGTTTTTTTACATTTCAAAAGGATCCTATGCAAAAACATTACCTACCCTAATGATAACTGTAGTAACTAGATGAATATCCTTAATATCGGCCTTCCTTTATAGTCAGTCAATCTTTCTATTATCGGATTATGAATTATCGAACAACAACAAGCTTTGCCGGAGCATGAAACCGCTCATCTCAGATCGCAATTTCGTTCTATTCATTCATCAGAAATATGTATTTAGGAAATCGTTTGTGAGGTACAGCGATATAGGAATATCAAACATAACGGTTGCACGATTTCTTTAATTCATTTTCATGATTCTAAATGAGAAGAAAACGGGGGGAAATATTCCTAGTACAGGTTAGAGTTTATTGTATTTAAACAGTTCCTACAGGAATGGCAAAAAATTGAAAATTAAAAGTGAGAATTTCACTGCTAATGTTACAAATGTGATCATCTTTTGGATTTAATAAGCCGCGCAAAATTACCGATTTTTGACCAATGTTTATCGTTTTAATATATGTAATGAGCTTTACCGCTTGTATTACTACCACACGAGGCGTGAGCCTAGCCCTTGGAGTCACTTCTGTACCTGTACTAAATTAAGATATCAATTCAAAATGATTTGCTGTAGCATAGTGCCACCTTGGCACTATGATTTTATCCGCAGTTCTATGTCTTCATATTTCCGTCAGTTTTTGCGATTCCCTCTGTATCTTCTTGCCTAAAATTCATTTAATTTCTTAAATTACGCTGTATAAAGCGTTTTCGTGGTGCCGTGTTTGTTTAGGAAGAGATTGAAATGGTTTAAAGTCAACTGTACGTGCGTCGAAG